AGCTGGTTTGCGCTCTGCTGGATGCGCTTTTATGCTTTCTGGTGCTTGCGTCACCCCGCTGGTGACGTCTCGCTGCTCCATTGGACTGATTTGACACGTGCTTCAGAACGCGGTCATGCAGGGGCGTTCCCAAAGCGACTCGACGCAGCTCGAGTTCCTGAAGGGGAACTATACTTATATCATGCATTTACTATATCTTGAGAATTTTACAGTCCCCTCCTTCCTTCCTAAGCAGATGGCCCAGGCCATAAAAGTTGACTTAGGGGTGTCAAGAACTCAAGTTAAACTTGAGTTCTTGACATGCCTAGGTCAACTTTTATGGCCTGGGCCATCTGCTCAGGAAGGAAGGAGGGGCCTAAGAATGGGTGAAGGGATAGATGGGCAAATGGTCTTTCTCCCAGATCTTCCTGTCAGATTAGAAATTGTATTGTTTTGTTGTATGGCTAACAACGCCCCTCTTGGTCCCTTGGGGCAAACTCAGTACAGTCCCGAGGGGCCATCATGAGATGATCTCTGTAGGGTGCCCATTATCATAGTCTTTGCAGGGCTGGCACCTGTAGTGGACTGAGAGTGATGGCAGCATAGACTGAAAGCACGCTGAGAGTGAAGAATATACTTGAAGATGAGAGCACTGCCAATGACACATCCTCGGAACACCCAGTCCCACCATGTGTAGGCATACTGCGCTGAGTGGGTGGACGAGCTGGATAGGATGTTTGCAGTCCTCTTAGCCAGGTTGGCTTCTACCTGCGCTTGGATGAGTTGGTATTCAATCTGTGAGATGGCATTCTGCACCAAGTCTATCGTGTCAACCAGGGCTTGTGTGCCGTTTGTTGAAAGTGTCCTCCCACCACGGAGAGACACTTGTGTCCAGTGGAACCCTTCCCAGGATATTTATCTGACCCATTGAAAAGTCCTCCATCACCTCTAAGCAGATGGTGTGATTCACTGGGCAGGTCCTAGGTGAAAGAATTCATCTCACTGACGACGTACCATTGTGTGTGAGACACTTGAACAGCATCAGAATGGCTATGCAATGACTGAACATTAATGAGTTTGGAATTGTTAGGAGAAAAAGGTTGTAATGTATTGCAGATACAAATAATGTAACTAGATGTTTCATGACAACAAGTGCGAGTGGCAAATAAGGTCTCAGTGCCCTTCAAGGTCATATACCCAATAAGGTGGTCCCATTTTATGATCTTATCCTTCAATACTACACCAATGGAGCGTATTGTAGTGGAATTTGGATAAACCTGATCTGGGTGAATTAAAGGAAAAGTGGCGAAAAATCCAATACAGCCAATACATTCATTTCCTGTATACATCATTAATGTTGACAATAGTTCAGAATAGTTAATGCCCTTCATTTTCTCTGACATAAGCCAACTATGCAAATCTAAAATTTCAATAAGATCTTTTAAGACATGTCTAGGGGACTTATGAAGACGAAGATCTAAAATCTCTTGTCTTGCTGCTGTAAACAAATGTTGTGCATATGTTCTACAGGCTAAATCACGCTCGATGGTACGGGTCTGATTGAAAATTTTATGGCTGATCGTGAGAAGCGCCTGCACTTCAGATCTGACTGCTTTGATAAAGTTTTCATTACTATTGGTGATATGCTGGAAACCAGTGGCCATCTGATTTGCCAACCATGTTGAGAGTTGAGATTGTCCAGTAATTTTGTTAGTATTTGCTTTGGAATTGGCTGAGCCAAAAAGGCCTGCTTTATTACCAAATAAGTCTTGTTTGGTGCGGAAAGATGGTATTTGGACTGCAAGTCTAGTTTTTTAGTCAGAAAGTAAATCATTGATGCATGACTGTAGCCATGTACAAGTTTTGTCATTAAAGCTACAGTGCTTTACATAAGCAGACAAAATATTAGAGATATTGTATGTCACATGTGTCATTACAAGATTAACATAATGAAGCAAGGTTTTATTAACATTTTCTTTGATTAGACCACCGGCAGGTGGGGGATGTAATTTTGGACACTGTGGGTTTACTATAGCCACAAGTAGTTAGGTTAAAGCAATGATGTAAAGTCCATGAACAATTATTAGGATTTGTGAAATCATCCATGTTTGTTTCACACCTTCCCAGACAGTATGTACCTTCCTTTTGGCTTGTCCAAACAAATGTTTTTAATGTATTATCAATTAATGGTTGTCTCAAATTGAAAATCATTTCTGTAAATTTTAGGTGTGTGTTGTTAATATGCTACTGAGTGTCTGCACCAGTATGTTGCTGGTTCTAGATCCTTGGTGGAGTAACACATTTTAGGATCTGCACCATTGTTGTTGCCTTCATACATGGTGTACATCTCTGAGTCTGGATATTTTTTTCTTGGAACCAGCCAGTAATGTTATGGAGAAAATGTGGTGCACCTGTGTATCCTGTAATGTTACTGTCTGGGAGATGGGTAGACCCTGTCTTACAGCAAATTTTTGTTGCACAATTTGGTTCCGGTACTAATCCGGGAACCCATGTGACTGTCTTTGTATGTGATCGCTGTGTATGGCCCCTTGGTATATTTCCATACCCATCTCTCACATCCTAGGGTGTGTGTGAGGGTGACTCGTTGTCCCAATTCAATGCAGGTGGGTCCAGATACTGTCCTGGAATCCGGCCTCCATGGAATTGCAGTGACTGCCCTGAAAGGAAAAAGATCATAATTAATTCAATGAACCTTTAAACAGTTTGCATTGGGACATGTGGTACCATCTTAATTTCCTTCTGATGGCAATGGCCACACAGCTGTTACAAACAGCTTTGATTTCATAGGGTCCATGCCATCTAGGGGAAAACGCATTTTGTTTCACAAAAACACGCACCATCACAATGTCTCCTGAAAATTTTGTTTCAGAGTTTGGGTTGAACTGTGCATCATTCATCAAGTCAGACTGCTGTTGCTTTAGTGCAGCCTGTGTGTACAACATCTTCAATCTTTCTTGCAACTACATCAACACAGTTTGTTGAGGTGCGAGCATGAGGGGCCCTAAGTCTGCAGAGGAGATCTCTGGATCAATGGGTAACTTCATCACCCTTCCAGTCATAAGTTCATATGGGCTAATACCCGTGGCTTTTGATGGAGTTGCTCGCAATACAGTTAGAACCGTAGGTAAGGCATCAATCCACTTATTCTGGTGTTGTGCTATTTGTTTAGCGATATTTTCTTTGATAGTGCGATTCACACGTTCAACAATCCTCGAACTTTGTGGTCTATATGAAATATAAAATATGAAATATTTGCTTGATGTTCAGCATTTTGCACATGTTTTGCATGACCTGTCTGGTAAAATTAGTCCCTTGATAGGATTCAATTTGAATTGGTGCTCCCCATAGAGGGATGATTTGGTTGGTTATTACACGTGCCACCGTATTAGCTGTGTTGTTACGAGTGGGAATTGCTTCAACCCATTTTGAGAATTTGTCAATTATCACGAGGCAATAGCGATACACTCCTTTTGCACTGGGTAGCGGACCAATAAAATTCCAATTGTAGGAACTCCCAGGGTCCTTTAGGTGGTTCTGGCCTACGCAAATTTGTTTGGCCTAATTTCCCCTGGTTAACAGTGGCACACACTAAACAGGTGTTAAACATCTTTCAGTGTCTACTGGCATTCCTGGCCACCAAAACTGTCTTTGTATCAATTGCAAAGTTTTTGCGGCAGATACATGAGAATAATCATGATATAATTTGATTATTGGTTTTTGGAGGGCCTCAGGTACAACAAATTTGTCATCTCTAAATAACTATGCCTTCAGTGACTTTAACCATCTGATCATGCTTTAAGTGTGGTGCAAGTTCCCCATCAGAGACCCACAGATTTTTCTGGTATTGTTTGAGGTTAATGGGTGTAACTTGGATCGCACTCACTGCAGGAATCAGTGGTTTATTGTCCTGTCAGTTATCGCCTTTTACCGCAGCTAACTTGGCTAACTGATCGACAATGTTGTTATTTTGTTCACATGCGTCAGGATTTCTGTGGATATGCGCACGCACTTTGACGATGGAAACGTCTCGGTTACGTATGGTAACCCTCGTTCCATGAAGGAGGGAAGGAGACGTCTCGAATTGGTATCTCGCTTAGAGAGACCAATCTACTTCGAGTATAAACTAAACGAGCCAATGCACATTGGCATGTGATTATTGCATCCAGCTGCCGCTGATCACAGCGTGAGTATAAGTAGGCAGCAGATGCAGCGCATATTGTGGCGACGGGACGTGACGTCTCCGTTCCCTCCTTCAGGGAACGAGGGTTACCATACATAACCGAGACTTTCCCTTTCAGTCGGGCAATCTCGACGTCACGTCGGATGACCAACGAATTGAGATCCCTACCAAAAGGCCACAGATACTGCCACTTCCAGTGTCCTGTGGGAGCCTCCTGCTCCCCTACTTTTTAGTGCAGGGCAGGGCTTACCACATTAGGACCAGCTACTGCTGCTATGGCACTACCCACTCAGTAAGACTGGATAACACTGGGAAAACATACCCGTTCCAATTGGGACCGGGACGTTGCGGAAGCTCCATCCTTCCCGAAGGAGGTTTCGGAAGCAAATACACACATGAACATCCCTTAGGTGCATATGGAAGATTGGAGGTGATTGTAACCCTCTTGGAGTGGCAGAAGTCTGCCCGGGGAAACACGGGCTCTGAGATCATACAGTGGACTTTACACATATGGGATCTACTTAGGTCTCTACATATGGAACCCAGCCCTCTACCGGTTCTCACGGATTCATCGAGAGAGGGCCTGGCGTATGTGAGATTAGAATAAGTGTGTCCCAAAGCATAGTATGTTGAAAAGAGTATGCCAAAAGTCATAGATGATCTACTATTTCAGGTCGATTATTGAATAGGGATGGGCGGATCGATCCTTAAGTATCGATACTTCGATACTGATGTTGTATCGAAAGGATCGATCCTCACATAAAAATATCGATTCTAAAGTGCATATTTTTAACCATTAATTTTATTTAATTATCAAGAAATTCAGTGCATAAAATAAGCTTGTAAGTAGAAAAATAGACTATATTAGCGAATAATTGTGTTGGGTAGAACCATTTCTCCTGAACACACTCTCTCAGAACACTTTCAGAAATGCTGAAAGACAGAACCAATCAATCACAGACAGCGTTCGCTGCTGAAGCATGGCCCACAGTGCTTGTCCAAATAGGGCTGCATTTCCCAAAAGCATCAGAAGCTTAACAGGTTTCATAGACAATTGGACGAGTTTTTGGGGTAGACCTGACCTGTTGAAAAGCGATGGTCTTCATCCCTCCTGGGGTGGTGCCACTCTTCTGTCTAGAAATATGGCACATAGTCTTAGAGTTTTTACTTGACTAACTGGGGCCCAGGTCAGGAAGCAGACAGACTGGCTAAACTGACCATCTGCTAGCCGCTTCATGTCACAGAAATCAGTTAATTCTCAGCACATAGAAACTATTTCACCTAGAAATCACACTATAGAGACTGTGTCTGTTCCCCGAACTAGAAAATACAAAAAACTTAACAATTTAATTTATGTTCAACAAATAAAAAACAGATGTACTTCTGATGCCCCCCTAACTGTGACAGCCTTGGATGGAAGACCGTTAGCTCCAGGGAAAATAACCCACCTCACCTCTCTCCTATGTCTCGTCACTTACCAGCACCAGAAGAGAATGTGCTTTCACCTCATACAGTCTCCCGAGTTCCCTGTTATCCTCGGTCACCCTTGGCTTCTCCAGCATAATCCACACTTTGACTGGTCCACTGGTGCTGTTCTCAGTTGGGGACCCACCTGTAGGATTCTATTGCATCAATTATCCCCAGTTCCAAAATAATAGCTCCTATCAGGTGGATTTTGGAAAATACTGTAAAACAGGCCCAATCTGACCCAGGAGGGGGGCCAACCCACTGTCTGTTTGTCCCAAAAGCTGTCCGCTCCCAGATTCTCTCCAGATTCAGGATGTGACAACATTTGTAAACGCATGTCCCACATGCAACCAAAGTAAAAGCTCTCACCGTTCTCCTCAAGGGCTGTTGCACCCTCTCTCCATACCTCGTAGACCTTGGTCTCACCTTTCCATGGATTTTATCACTGGACTTCCGCTATCTCAAGGCAACACCACTATCATGGTCATAGTTGATAGATTCTCCAAGGCCGCCCAATTTATTCCTCTGCCCAAACTACCCACCGCAAAAGAGACTGCTGAATTGGTTATGACCCATGTCTTTCGAGTCTTTGGCATCCCACAAGACATCGTCTCTGATCGAGGACCCCAATTTTCCTCCCGATTCTGGCGGGCATTTTGTCAATCACTGGGGGGCTACAGTGAGTCTATCTTCCGGGTTCCACCCAGAGTCCAATGGGCAAACAGAGAGGCTTAACCAGGATCTTGAGACTACACTGAGGTGTATGGCAGCTAACAACCCATCCTCTTGGTCTTCCTTCATCATGTGGGCAGAATACGCGCAAAATACCCTTCGCTCCTCTGCTACAGGCATATCCCCTTTCGAGTGCCAGTTCGGGTACACCCCTCCACTATTCCCTGAACAAGAAGTGGAGGTCGCAGTTCCCTCTGCTCAGCAGTTTGTTAAGCGCTGCCACCAGACATGGAAAAAGGCCAGACTCAAGCTCCTTAAGGTCTCTCAGCAGTACCAGTACCAGGCTAATCGCAGACGCAGACCTGCCCCCACTCTGCGCCCTGGCCAAAGAGTCTGGCTCTCCACTAAGAACATTCCCTTACGGGTGGAGTCCCGTAAACTTTCCCAGAGGTTCATCGGTCCCTTCAAGATTGCCAGGAAAGTTAACCCGGTTACTTATCGTTTATACTTACCTAAGTCTTTGAAGATAAATCCCACTTTTCATGTCTCCCTGTTAAAACCTGTTTTGTCTTCTCCTTTTCTTGCGAGAGAGCAGGGGGGTTCCTCCTGAAGTCCACTATCATCTCCACAGTTTTGAGCGTGTTCAGCTCCAGGTTGTTAAGACTGCACCAGACAGCCAGCTCTTTAACCTCCTGTCTGTAAGCAGACTCGTCTCCGTCCTGTATGAGGCCGATGACTGTAGTGTCGTCTGCAAACTTCAGGAGCTTGACAGAGGGGTCTTTAGAAGTGCAGTCATTGGTGTAGAGGGAGAAGAGCAGTGGGGAGAGTGTCAGAGTTTTTGCTTTGTATGTCTCAGTCAGGTCCCTATGGTACTCTCGTGTCAATGTTGGGCCTCTTGTAATCAGTGCTATTGTTTTCAGATGTGCCTCGTTCTGGGCTGTGTATTTAAACTGGTCACTTCCTTTGTTTCTTTGCTTGGTTATTGTTGTTCCTAAGCCAGCTGCTGCCGTAAGTCTGCTCTAGTTCAAAGAACTATACTGCAAAAGTTTTTTGGATTGTTTCCCTGTGTTTAAGTTGGCTGTTTTGTCTTTTTCCTGAGTTTTGGTTTTAGAGATTATTATTCTCCTTTTTGGATAATTTTTTGGACTGAAGATTTTTCTGTTTTGTGGCTTTCATTAAGGAAAAGGATTTTTGGGTTTAACTGCCTCCTGTGGCTCAGTGGCGGAGATTGAGACTCTCGCGCCAGAGACCCTAGTTCAAGCCCCGGCGCTGACATGTATGACTGCTATTAATTTGTAGCAGTGAATGAAGAGGTATCATATCGATCACAGGTGCAGTATGGAGTACCTCAAGGCTCAGTAGTAGGGCCATTACTCTTCACGCTTTACATGTTACCCTTGGGAGATATCATCAGGAAAACACGGTGTTAGCTTTCACTGTTATGCTGATGATACTCAGCTCTATATTTCTTCACAGCCCAGCGAAACATACTAATTTGAAAAACTAGCGGAATGCATAGTCGATATTAAAAACTAGATGACGAGTAATTTCTTACTGCTAAATTCTGAAAAAACAGAGGTGCTAATTATAGGACCTAAAAACTCTGCATGTAATAACCTAGAACACTGTCTAAGACTTGATGGCTGCCCTGTCAATTCCTCGTCATCAGTTAGGAACCTAGGTGTGCTATTTGATAGAAAAATGCAGTTTTACAAATGCTAGAAACTTGGCTTTCTAAGAAAAGATTGCTATCTCAAAAATATATCAAAATTACGACCTATGCTCTCAATGTCAAATGCAGAAATGTTAATCCATGCGTTTATGACCTCAAGGTTAGATTATTGTAATGCTTTATTGGGTGGTTGTTCTGCACGCTTAATAAACAAACTCCAGCTGGTCCAAAATGCACCAGCTAGAGTTCTTACTAGAACCAGGAAGTATGACCATATTACCCCGGTTCTGTCAACACTGTGCTGGCTACCTACTAAACATCGTATAGATTTTAAAATCTTGCTTATTCCTTATAAAGCCCTGAATGGTTTAGCACCTCAGTATTTGAACGAGCTCTTGTTACATTATAGTCCTCCACGTCCGCTGCGTTCTCAAAACTCTCAAAAAGCATTTTGATAATACCTAGAATATCAAAATCAATTGCGGGTGGCAGATCCTTTTCCTATTTAGCGCCTAAACTCTGGAATAACCTAGACACTGAAAATTGGAGTAATGATGCTCAAAATTCAGCTATGATCACAGATGCATTTTAAATTACATTTGAAAATATATTAAAATTATTATATTATATATAATAGTTATATTTCACAATATTGCTGCTTTTACTGTTGTTGTTTTTTTTCTTTTTCAAATAAATGCAGCCTTGGTGAGCATGAGACTTAAAAAAATTACAAAATCTTACTGACCCCAAACTTTTGTGTACATGTAAAATTAGGTCAACCGGAACCGGGGACACTTTCCATAACACCCAATGTACTTGCTGCATCGCTAGAAGAATGGCATCTATGCTAATATTAGATTTAATCTGGTTGTTAAAAGTTCAAATGGATTGTGTTCTGTTCTGTAATTGCTGTTAATAAATCTGTCAGAAAAAAATATGCTAAAATTTCACCTTTGGGGTACAACAGCCTGGCAGCCTTTTACAAAAATTAACCATGGTTTTATTACAGTAACCACAGTTTACCACAGTATTTGTACTAAAACTGCAGTAACCACAGTTTAGCAAGATAATAATAATAATAATACATTTTAGTACTTATGTAACACCATGTTTATTTTTCATGAGGTACCCTCAAAGGTGCACCTTTGTAACTTATCTACCCTTAAAGCATGCATACTTGTATAGTATTAATATGCTCCCTTTTAGGGGTATAGTTGCACCTGTGAGGTTACTGCCTCAGTAAAGGGCTAAAATACAATTATAGGACATTTTATTTCTGACAGTGTTAACAAAAAAGGTATCGGTATCAATATCGACGATACTGGGCTTAAAAAATTGGATCAAAAATAAAATGAGGTATTGCCCATCCCTATTTTTGAAGTGTGGCTCCCTGAACACTCTAATGGCTAAAATTGCCCACAATCCATTGCGCTTTGGCGATGAATTCGTATCAGAACTACAAACACGAATAAAACGCTTTAGAAAAACTATAAACGTGGCAGATGCGCGCGATCGAAGGTTAGGTAGAGAGGTTTACTGTTAGTTTGAGTTACTAACAGTGTTACTTTCGCTGACGAATAATTTTCGTCATAATTGTCGTCGAGGACATTTTTTTCACCGACGACAACGAGACGATAACGAACTAAAACTATTTTTGAATGACAAAAACTATGACGTAAATCTATTGACATTTTCGTCAACGAATAAAAATGAGACGAAAATGTTAGGGAGGGATGATTTGGGATGAGATTCATTCAGAACGAATCTGCTGCGTGGCTCTGAGGTTATTTGTACATAAGCTAAAATACACTTGCTGCACGTCGCATAAAACGTAAAAAAAATGTGAATATGTGGGAGTAAGAGAAGAGCAGACATATGGATAAATCTGACGACTCGAGAGAACTCAATTTGGTCCGGTTTTCTGAGTGCAGACACTATACACCCAAAGCGCGTCTCACAGCGCGCAAGTGCTCTTTCGTGTCGCATGAACGGAGAATTACACACAAAATGATGTCAAATTGTCAATTTTGACGAGTATTCACGTAAACACAGATTACGTCGTAAGCTAACGTAAACAATATTTGTGTATATATATATATATACCCGGGCTAATAAGACCGTGTATCAGTACATTGCATCCATTGCAGCTGTGCATTCGGTTTTAAAGGGACAGCAGCCTAATTTAGTTGCTATTGTCCGAGTCATTGATGTTAATCAAGCAACAAAAGAAAGACAGAAAATCACGCACTGCTCTTGACTGAAAACTTTAGTAGCCTTAAAGATTAATCTAAATTTATTTATAGAAATAAATATGTCTGCTTGAAAGAATGAAGAATATGGTAAACAAATTGCTATAAAGAATGCATAATGTAACCATTGGTATTTCATTAAAAAGTAGACCACCCAGCTTGTA